CTCTCTCTCTCTCTCTCTCTCTCTCTCTCTCTCTCTCTCTCTCTCTCTCTCTCTCTCTCTCTCTCTCTCTCTCTCTCTCTCTCTCTCTCTCTCTCTCTCTCTCTCTCTCTCTCTCTCTCTCTCTTCTCTCTCTCTCTCTCTCTCTCTCTCCTCTCTCTCTCTCTCTCACTCCCTCCATCCCTCCCCCTTCCTCTCTCTCTATCCCTTCCTCTCTCCCGTCCCCTCTCCTCCCATTCTCACCTGTCTGACCAGGCTCCGTTCCACTCCACGTGGTCGGCCCACGGGTTTCTGATGCGCACCAGGCGCGGCCGGCCCAGCGTCTGGTGTTGGGGCCGCGCCAGGCCCGTGACCGTGTACGCGTGGCCCTGCACCAGACCCAGCTCGTCAGCCTTGTTCGCCTCCCGCCAGTCGCCCTGCAGGAACAGAAGGGGTGGGGTGAGAGGGAGAGTACGAACTCTGCCGACTCTTTTGACTCCATTGACTATAGATTCCACTCATGGGCCACGGCCTCGAAGCGATGGAATAAGGCGTATGAACAGTACAATGAAGTCGTAGTCGGCTGTATGGAGTCGAGTTCTATGGATTTTATGGAGTGGCATCTAATGAGCAGACCCCGTCACACTATCCCCCTTCACGGCCCCTGTTCAGCTTTGCAAACCGACTGTGACGCAGAAAATCAGTATCATTACTTATGCGCCGTCTGTACATGATACGCGCTACTCATTACAGGCGACAGTTTCAGCCTCGCTGGCTGCTGTGTAGCTACACAAGTGTGCCTCCGTTCGATCGATCGAGCTACCAAGAAATACACGATTTGCTGACGCATCTAGCTACGTCAATGGCGATAATAAGGGCACCTAGCTCCCCATGCGTGCACATACCGCAACTTTGCCTGACAGGGCTCAAAGAGGGTGGGTTGTTGAAGCCGGGCAGGAACCCTGCACCGGCCGCTATTCTGGAACCAACACTCGGTGGAATTTCGACCGTCATTTGGGAATGATGTCTATAATGAAATATGGAGTCCGAAGAGTGACATTTGCAAACGAGCCACGGTGTTTGCAGAAACGATAGCGCTGTGTGGCAATTCATTCCTGTCAAGACGGTGACACTCCAGTATGAGTTACATTCAATATTTATAATATCGATCCGTCAATTTGTCATTATCAACAGACGAAGTTTCAGGTACTATCCTATCCGACGAAAATCCGGTAGCAATGTAGTTTTTACTCCATATCATTACGTGACATGCATTCAGGATATTATACGCTGCCAAAGTCCGGTACCCAATAATTCCAGGCGTACAGGTGAAACCCTTCATAACCGGCTACTTGGAACGCAATTCATGTTTACATCTGCTTATTGGCGTAGGCAACTATTGGCTATGGGCGTGCGACCTGAAACTGTGTGGCTATTGGCTACATCCACCGACATTACCACTGGACCACCTAGCGGCTACGTGTAGTAATAAGGCGAGACTGGCGGAATACAGCGCTCAATCAGCCAATAGTACCACACCGGGCGTAGGTAACATATCTTCCACGACAAACGCTGTGCCTACAGTACTCGCGTTACATACCCCTTCAGAACGACTGACCGTATCACATTTGTAGCACTGAGGACGCAACACAAGTCCATTATGTTGCCCACACGGCACACATCGATAGTGCGCGGGCTCCAGTTACATCTACCCTGCGCACTGCGCTGTCGTGGTCAGTTCTCTTCCCCTCCCCTCTTGCCCTGTCGGACGGCCAGGGTGAGCCCTGCGCTCTACCCCAAACGGGCTGGGATCATGGGATGACCCCACCGCCCACCTTTCTCGAGCAGGTGATGAAGGCGCCGGCCACGGTCGACTTGTACAGGTGTCTGAACAGGTAGCTCTGGTCGTGCTCGGCCAGGTCGAACCGCTCGGCCAGGCCGCCGGTCAGGTCGACCAGGGCGTCCATCGCCTGGCCGCCCTCCAGAGCCTCGTACGAGCCGTGCAGTCTGAACGGAGGGACGGACAAAGGGGAGCGGTCAGATGGGAGGTAGAGCGAATCGTACGAGCCGTGCAGTCTGCCGTACGGACGGACAGAGTGGAGAGGTCAGATGGGAGGTAGAGCGAATCGTACGAGCCGTGCAGTCTGAACGCAGGGACGGACAAAGCGGAGCGGTCAGATGGAGGGGGTTCAGTAACAGTGGCAGCGGCCCGTGCAGTCTGAACGGAGGGTCAAAGGGGAGCAGTCAGATGGAGGGGGTTCAGTAACAGTGGCAGCGGCCCGTGCAGTCTGAACGCACGGGTAGAGGAGTGATGTCAGCAGGGGGAGGGGTCAGCGGACACGTCCGGGCGGGATCAAATAACATCGCCTCGTTCGAATTATGCATTCTGACACATGGACACTGGACAGAGTGGGAAGGGTTGTTGGACGGGGGCACAGTCAACGGAACAAGGCCGTGATTGTTTCTCCTAAAATCTCATTACGTCGCACCCGTTACCTGACTCGCATTTACAGAACGAATAAAAAATTCAAGTGATATGTGCCGTGAATGCAGTTTAATTTTTAAATCATCTGTGGTTAAATAAGTGATAGTAGACATACGTATTACGCAACTGTATCACCACTTGCATCGAATTAACCCATTCTAGTTCCATACTCTAACTAGTTCCATGCACCGCAGAGTGTGGACTTTGACGACAAGCGGTATTCAGTTGTCTGTTCTAGGTGGGTCACTGCTTTGTGGCCCCGCACACTGACATGCGACATCGCGCCTGAATTTCTCAGAAAACGGCGAATATCATCGCCCCACACCACACCACGCTATTGCACTGCTGATTTCAGAGCCCGGCGCCGGGATTTCATCTCATCCTGGAGATGTGAACTGCTAAGCTCCCGTCTCCCCTGGCTAGGCCACCACACCACCCAGCCTCTCTACTCAGGCTCGGTCGTGATTCCGCAAATCGCCACAGCCGCTGACAGCCGTCTCCCGTCCCCAATCTCGACAACCGCTCCCCATCCCAGCAATCGCCATCGCCGGCCGAGCTCTGCAATATGCACTCACTTGGCGTATGCTTTCTCGAGCAGTGCCACCCAGAACTCGTTCGGGTCGACACACTTGGCGTTGAAGAGGGCGCCGTTCTTGGTGGGCAGCCGGTCGTCGATGTAGACGTCGACCCAGTCGCCGAACCGCCAGAAGCTGAACCGCACACAGCCGTGGTAGCCGTCCCCGCTCAACGGCTGGTTAGGCGGAACCACCTGAGGAACGAGGTCAGGTCACTGGTCAGGTCAGCGGCTGGTTAGGGGGAGCATCTGAGGAGGAGGTCAGGTCAGGTCACGTCAGTGGCTGGTTGGGGAACCACATGAGAAGGGTGGTCAGGTCAGATTAGCAACTGGAGAAGAGGACCAAAGGCCGGCAGGGTCAGGTCAGGGTCTAATTCAGCGGCTAGTCAATTGTAACCAACTGCCGGCGGGGTCATTGGGGTCCGGTCAGGTCACGAGTCACTAGTCAGCTCTCTGTTGACAATTGTCGAGTTGCTTATATCCCGTAGCGAAGCCGAGAGGAAGACCGGAATGGATGAATTAAAAACTAAGTCGTCGACGGTTAAAGCATTAGTGCTAGGGTTTGAGAGTTACGGGATGTTTTTTATGAAGTTTGCTAGCTTTTCCACCCGCCAAATGTTATCGGATGGCGATTCGCTATTGACCACTTCGCTTCTCTTCTCTTCTCCAGACTTATTAGAACGCAAGATCAGGACAATATCTCGCACTGAATTGGTGCGCCTTTAGTGACCTTATAATGATAACTGAACTCTGATTCGCACAAAAACAAACTACTTTGGTTATCTCCAATTCTTCTCTGAATTCTGATTCTTCTTAGACATCCTTGACATTCAATCATCAAAGCAAATTTCATCGAAAGATGTTTTCCAGCACTATTCGCCCGATCAGCCTTCCTTTAATCATCTATGCACATACGTATCAGTGAGGAATGTTTTATACCGGACCGGGCGGCTGATCCTGTGTCCGTGCCATCAATGATGCACGCGGAGGACAGCTGAAAGGTCCCGGGTCGCGGCCGGCCGCTCCGTGCCGACAGCGACAAACACCGGCCGCGTGCCCAGCTATCCGTACCGCCGGCGGAGCGGGCTGATCGCGACTGCCGCCATGATCGCCACCGGTCACGCAATCCCACCGGTAAACAAAACTGTTGTCAAAGACACTTAGAGCGAGCACTGTGGAGACGAATTCTGGATCAGCAGCTTTACATACATGCATAGCTTCAAAAACGCAAAGAAAAACGTCCTACCGAATATTTCTTTCTGATGGGGAATCGGATGGGTAAGCTCATTCCATTTTTTGTATGGCCTTTTTGGATGCACCAAGGTCGCGAAAACCGGTCTGTTCTTTCCCGGGGTGTGGTAGATATACTAGCATGTATCTACTGTTTTTGGTTTAAAGTTTTCAACTTCATTAAGTCTTCATCTGTAATGAATAATGATGAAGACTAAAGCGAACGACTGTTTGCATGCACCTCAGTGGACTGTGACATACTTATACTTCGCCCGATAGATGGCAGTACGGAGAAGCGCCTGAAAGCATACTGTGCCGCATCGTAGCATACTGCTACATCGTATGGTTAGTAGCAGGGCTACTAACCATAAAGCAGGCGCAGTTCAATCGTTAATTATTCATTTGTCTGTAACAATGCACTAGATCATAGATGTTTTTGGGCATGGATTTTTTTTTTTTAACACGCCAGCGTTACACAAAAAGAAGTGTTAAATCGATAACAGCCACAAAGGTGACTAACACTTCCTATAGCTTGGCGCAACTTACGGGTCGAAGTTCGAATCGCACGCACTGTTATGCTCACCGTTCCGTGCTTCTATCCTCAGGATACAGAAGTCCTTCTCCTCCACGCCGCAACCCCTTCCGGGCTGGACAGGCAACTTTATCTCATGCGGGCTGCTCCCTTGGAGCGGCACCGCTGCTCCCGAGGGAGCGCACCCCGTAGCCGGGTGCAGTGAGTACCTTGGGGCTGGGTGGCCTGTCCTCTGGACGGGCTCAGCCCCGGTGACTCACTAGGGTGCCTGCCCAGACCAATGTCTCCCCCTATATCCTATCATCCTCCCGGCTCTGAAATGGTCTCAGTGGACCGAAAGGGCCTAACCCAACAAAACAAACAAAAACTGTTATGCTTTCGTCCTCGTTTTTAGGCTAATACCAAAACTTAGCATGAGCTGCCCGATAGCTTTTACATTTCTTTTCTGTTCATTTTAAACGGCAGTCGCGCCAGCTGCCTCTGTCGAATACGCTCTTTGACCCGGACTTCCGCACTCTCCCTCATTATGGTCATTGCCATCAATCTAATTTCAGGCCCCTTATATGTCTCATAGACCACTTCTCAGCGGACCCATTACCCTGAGTTCAATGGCTCACGGTAATGATACCGAATGGACCATGAATTACCAATCTTAGGAGCCGATTATTTATGACACGTTACCGAGTTCCGCGTTGGGGACTCACCCGTTCGATGAGTTTGGCCTCCTTGGCGATGGCGCAGCACGAGGAGAGGAACCAGCAGTCTCCGAGGACGCCCTGTACCACATCGCGGCGGCTGACACCCTCGACGAACAGCTGGGCGTTCTCGGCCAGCTCCTGGAACGGGTGCAGGGCCGGTTCAGAGGCGTGGGTGTAACCAGCGAGCACCGAAACGGGTGCAGAGGCGGGTCAGAGGCTGTTGGTCACCGCCCCGGCGAGATCCTGAAACGGGTGCAGGGACGAGTCAGGGCGATAGTGGAGCTTTCAGGGAGCACTGAAGCTGACTGGAGGGTTTCATCAGGGGCACTGGAACCGGCTAGGTGCTTGCAGAGATCACTGATCACCGATCACAGGCTCGTGCGGTGCCGGCACACGGCGCACGATCAATAATCGATGATCACTCAGCGCGTCAGCCCCAACAATGTGCAAACTGTGATAGCTCCATAGCGGTGGAAGTTGGACAGCTCGCTGGGGGCTCGGGCCGCACCGAAAGGTCAGCCCGGCGCCAGGCACAGATATGGGCGCAGTGGCGCGAGGCTGCTGACATAAACAGAGATTAAGTGACTGACCTTCAGTGATCCCACATCGGCCTCTACGCCACCCACAACGAATGTCAGCTCAACAGCTCTGCCTGATGCCGGATTACAGTCATACGGCTGGGCACAAGCGTTGGCCTATTGGACGGGAGAGCCAATAGTCGCCAAAGTCGGTATTTACTCGCCCGACACCCACCGCCGCACTGGAAATGAGTCTGAAAACGCCAGCGGCTGAGCGACGATAGTGATAGAAGAAATGTGGAAATTGTGTGTGTGGTGGAAGCAGGGGTATCGGACCAGAACCGTTGCTGTTTAACCGTTTTTAAAATTAAATTGATCATGGTAACTCACAAGACCGGCTTCCATATAGGTTTTGTTCAGTATATTTTTTTCGTCATTAGCTTTTGACTTCTGAATGAGAATGTTCCCAGTCCCATCAGTTGGGGTCATTTACCCTGTGTACCCGCCCACACACGTGACCCTGACGCCCCCCCCCCCCCCCGACCTTAGCCGTACACTCTGTGAGAAAATCGATAGCTGCACGGGCATAGATCGGCCTACATTCACCAGTCGTTTATTAGCAGACGGACTGAAAACGTGCCAATGTGAGGCGGCACGAGGCGGCACACACAGTTGCTAGCGTAAACAGCGCCATCGGCAGCACGCTCTATCGCTAATGGCAGCACTGGGCGCTTATTTGGGGTCCTGCCGGCCTCGAGGGTAATTCGTACCTAGTCTAAAGCATAGCATGAAAAACAGCTGTCCGTTTGTGTGAGTCTCCAACTCCTGCATGGCCCATTAGTTTCCAAAGAAGAACGTCTCGCTAGACCTCCGGCTTGAAGTTGTAAAGTCGAGTCAAACACCGAGTTTCTCAATCCGAATCCAAGAACCGAGCTACTCCTGCCGAATTCCCACACCGCTGACCCCTGCCCAGCAGACCTGCTTAGAGTGCCGGTACTCACGTGCGGTCGTTTCCAGACGACCTCGTCGCCGGTGGAGCGGGAGCTGAAGTACAGACTGGAGTCCTCCGCCGGGAACTCTGCGTCCTCGTACAGCTGTCCCTCCGGCAGCGAGTCCAGCAGGCGGGGCACCTCCTCCACATTCTGAGCGAGGGGAGGTCAGGTCAGACGGGCACCTCCTCCGCACTCTGAGCACAGACCACCAACAGGTCCGACAGGTGACGTTCTCCACACTCTAACCGCAGAGAGGTAAGGTCAGACGGGTGGCGTTCACGACACGTGTGGAAACGCGCCTGGGTGAACTGCTTTAGAGTTATTCAATACCTAGCTAAATTGCAAACCAAGCTGTTGCCTCTACATTTTCCTCTATGCGCTATGAAGCAGTTTGCCGGCCGGCGTCAAGTCATACGTGTATTTCCGTAATCCGGCGTGTGTTCTGCAACAGTCTGCCGGCCGGCTTCGAGCCGAAACTCTACTCACGTTGAGTCCGAGGTTGCCGCCGTCGAACTCGGCCTCGGGCTGTTCAAACTCGCCCTCCTCGCCGGTCTTTGGCCGCTGCTGGCAGTCGTCCTGAGGATTCACCTGCGGGGGAGACACCGGAGGTCAGCGATTTATTGAGAGTTCACCTGTGGGGAGACACCCAAGACAAACGATTTCCTGGGGGGTTGTCTGTGCAGAGAGGCACTCAAAGTCAGCAATGACAGGTCAGCGGGGGCATGAGCATTACAGACTGACTGTCAAGAGGCCTTGAGATGGACAGTCAGTCTGTAATGCTCATGCCCACGCTGACCTGTCATTGCTGACTTTGGGTGCCTCTTTGCACAGGGAAGAGGTGATGAGAACGGCCCCTCACTGGGTCACACGCGGGGTCGGGTAAACGAGGGAGCCGACAGCGACCACAGTGTCATTCCGGAGCTGGACAGCAATGTTTGGAACCTCCTTTGGTAATAATATGCGTCCCATAAGGTAGAATGATGTTTGTCCTGTGACAAATACAATGAGGTGGAATCGATGTGTGACAAACATAGGTACTGTTATGTGGTGGTTCAATATCACACGACGAATAAAAAACCTGACGGCTGATTACTCTCTATTGACCCAGAGAATAACTCTATTGACCCAGAGAATACCAAAGCGACTGACTTCATTCTGTACACGCATAGCAATAATCGCACAATGACGGGTGGGCAGTCACTAAACATTGCAATGGGTCGCGACTCACTTGTTGCCAACACGACTCAATTGTCCTCGTCCTGTTTCCATGGAAACGCAACAATCATTCTCGTCTGATAGCCATGCGACGACACACGGATTGTCTACAGCAACTTTGAGCCGGTGGCATTCGGAAAATGGAAGGAGCCACCTGCTCAGGTGATGACCATGGTCCGTCTGTGCTCTAGTGCCTAGTATGTGCGCTCGAGCCGATCGACTACCCAGTCGGGGAGCGGGGTGATTGAGTGCCTTAATATGTGTCAGTTTACATCTTGGTATCTACTATCTACCCTTATAACCTGTTTCATCTGTTTCAGTGCTGATCAAGAAAATATGAAAACTGCCGGCCTAAACAGCCCGAAATGGTTGGCAGTGGTACTGAGTCGCTCATTATCTACACTCTAACAAAAATATGCAATTTGTACATGTAGGCATAGTGCATTTGAGTTAACGGGATAGCGACATCATTCCTCGGTGTGCCCACGTATTAGACAAGGTAATTGCTATTTAGCCAGGATAATGGGACAGATGTGTGCGTGAGTATGAGCGCACGCACACCGCCAAACAAGGTCATCACACACGCAACACATCGCTTATCCTACCTGCTCGGTGATATTGATTCACGTATCAGCGTCCCTATCACCCACACAAACCGTCGGTAGCTAAAAAAGCGGCCAATGTGTGCTCAGAGTGCGCACTCGTCTCATGCATCGGCAGGCGGCTGGGTGCGTCTGGCTCAGCGGCCCGGTGCTTACCCCGGCCGAGCGGGCCCGCGCGGCGCCCTCGTCGTCGATGACGGTGCTGGCTGGCGAGACGGTGATGCGGAACTTCTGGTTGTTGGGCAGCGTGATGCGGTCATCGTACACCTGTAACGAGCCGGTGCCGCCGCGGTGCGTGAGGGCCGGCCGTGAGGGGCGTGCAGGGCGGCACAGACACAGGAGCGGCAACCGGTGATCACCAAACCCCGTATCGCGCCGCGCCGGGCAGCACCAAAGCTCAATGGCAAAGTGTGGACCAACAAAATAAAGGCAATGTAGAAAAGTTGTAAAAATAAAATCGTCATGTCATTCACCAGCCACAAAACAAAAATAATGTGTGGCAGGACCAGGACTTGTTCAGATTCCAGTGCGAGATTCACTGAGCGTGATATAAACCCTCAGAGCCGGCTCGGTCACCGCCGGGACGCAGGGCTCACCTTTTTGGAGGCGCTCTCCTCCGAGATTTGTCCGTTCTGTTCAGCGACCACAGGTGAGGCGGAGGTGCTTTGGCCGCACCCCATGGTTCTCCGCCCGCGCCGCCGTCCGGCTCGGCTCAGTCAGCAGTCGACAATCAGCAGCCAGACGTCAGCTCCGCTCAGCTTAGCCGCGCTGATCGCCTCTCTCTCTCTCTCTCTCTCTCTCTCTCTCTCTCTCTCTCTCTCTCTCCAACAATCAGCGCGTTACCGCACCTCCACCGGCCATGCCTCTGGGACCACTCCCTCTACGTCCCTCTCGCGCCGCCCGCCGTCGCCGACGCGTCGTCTCTGTCTCCCCGACGCGTGTGTCCCGTCGGTGCCGGCGCCGGGGCTCGTCGGTGCGTCGGGCGGCCACCGGCGCTCCCATCGATCCCGGTTGGGTGAGGTGGGGAGGGGTCGGTCACCATGGCTGGACATACACACACCGGATGCGGACATACCGCCGCCGCGGGGCGGTGTGAGGCGAGCGGCGCACAATGGGGGTGACCTTATAGACGGGGGTGAATGGGGCTGACATGGATACACGCTGGGGAGAGGGGAGGGCTCGGTCTAAAAAAGGACACCTTAGCGGGATTGTTGTCTCCATCCTCCTGTAGGATGCTCACTACTCCGCCTGTCGAACTGATTTTATAACGAATAAAATTCGGTACAACCGGAAGGAAAACTTATGCTCCGACGTGCTCCGACTTATATGGAGAAAAGCGGTTGAACCAGACCAGAATCTATTTTTTTCCGCTAAATATGTTTATCGTGCACAGCAGTCAGCCTGCCAGCATTTTCAGGTGATTCATGAAGCAATTGAATGGGCCACATTCCTGGTGTTACTTGGTTACAAATGAACTGCAACCGATCTTTTTGTGGCTGCCAGTAATCTGCCGCACAGCGCTGGTCAAAATAACACAATACGATTGTCACTCGAATGTGAAATAAATAGCTCTGGGCTGCTGCCAAATCGGATTAAGACTTGATCTGCGTCTGCCAGCCGAGCATAGGGCACAACCCCGTGTTGGCGTGCAGCGCCGATGTCGAGTTCTTGTTACGGATCATACAATGGACATGGTCGCCACTTGACTCCATTAGATGAGCAGAGCTGACGGTGTGCTTTATATGGTTTTCCGGACGTCCCGGTACAGGTTGATGAGATAGGTGCTGACGCTTTGGGCTCGGTGGTGCGGAAGACATCTATCATTTCAGAGTGAAAGAGGAGGCTACTACGCCAGGGCACCTTCTACCGACACACCCAGGCTGCAGTCGAGTAGTGCCGATCTGACGGAATAGAGCCTCGGATGTTCGGTGATATCTCCACCCCTCCCTCAAGCCTGCTCTGCAGAAGCTACGACGCCCCTGTCCAGCAAACAGCCGATTCTGTGAAAGTATGTATATTTCTACACCCACTGCCGCCGTCCGGGCGTCTTGTCCCCAGAGGAGGCCCACACACGGGCCCGGGCCTGCCCCGACGGTCGGCCTCTGCCCGCCACACGCCGGCGGAGGCCCCGTCCGCCGGCCGCCCCGGACAGCACTCACACCCACACACAGACACACGTACAGGAGACACATCTCTGAAACACTCTCTCAGCCCCTGCCGACGAGTTATAAGGCACCTGCGATCGAACCGGCCCCGGGCAGGACAGCGCACTACGCTACGACGCCTATCCGCGGATGGACATTGGATAACTGACTGCGAGAGGACGCGTCAAACTATTGTCTGGAGCGAGGTAAATGTGGAAGTGCGAAACTTATTGTGGATCCGAGGTAACGAGATAACGTACAGGAAAATAAAGTCTTCAAAGCGTGAGCCCGTTAACCCGGATCTCGATTGGCCAGCGTCATGAAATACGATATGAAAAATAGACGATCGAAATAGCCAGCGTTAGACGAAGGCACCGCTTATCATCGGATGCCCAGATCATAGTGAAAAGAACAAAAATCAAAACTTGCCACATATAATTGGATGGATCCCTGACCAACCAGACAGAAAACGTCGTCGGAATATTCACTGTGTGGGTTAGACCACTCGGCATCCATAACAGCCACATATTTCAAAACCGGGCGTACAGCGGAGCGGCCGCGCCGTCACTCACCAGCGGCAAAGTACCGCGTCCATTCGGGCCGCGCGCGGCGTCCGGCGGTCCCGCAGCGGCGGCCGCGGCGCCGGCAGCGACCCCGGCCCAGCCCCACACTCAGCTGCGGCCGATCACAGGTAGGTGGCGGCCGGCCCGCTCAGGCCACCAGAGGGCCCCAGAAAAACTTGGACGGCCGCGCCTCGTCCTCGGTGAGGAAGAAGTCCTTGCCGTGCGCCACGAACTCGTCCAGGGTGATGGTGCCGTCACCGTTGACGTCAATCGAGTTGAACGACACGACCGCGTCCTGGTGGGCAGAGAAACGGGGTGAATACGGAGCGAACAACTCGGTAACACTGACACCACTCAGTTGTTATCACACTGGACAGTGGGGGTCGTTGAGTCAGTCAAACCAACTCATCTGCCAAGGAATAAATGACAGAAAATACGAAACCATTTACTTTTTATATAATTTTTAAACAAACATGACTCGTGGCAGATTAGGGATATCCACAATACACACACAAGTCCGTCGAAGGGCGGTTCTCCTATAAAAGAACGATAGAGTGGAGGCCTCATTATGCAAACCCACTAACGCCTCATCCCCCTGTCACATCCCAGAGCCTCCCCTAGTCTCGTATGCCACCCTGGGACCGTTCCAGTCAATCTCCAGCCGTTCCATCTCCACACTACAGCCACATACCTCCTCCGAGAGGCCGAGGCACTTGAAGAGCAGTTTGTACTCGTCCACGGAAATGTCGCCGCTGGCGTTATAGTCCACCGCCTGTCGATCAGAGTTACCAGGTCATGGCGCAGAACCCAGGACAAGCACGTCAGAATAGTAAGTCACTGCACCAACCAGGGTCAAGGCAGCAGGGCAAGGGAGCAGGTCACACCTCTGTTGGAGCAGCAATGCACGAACTAACTATTCGTAATACTCAATTCAATAAGCTGCCACGATTTAATATTGAACTACGACGTTGGCCTGCGGGTCATGACCTACGAAAGGAGCTTAGTTTTGTCTCTGTCCATGAGTGAAATTGAAGAGTCCGGTAGAAGCTAGACTTGGCCAGATTTGCGGACGCTGCAGCGGCTCTGCAGTCTGCAGACTGTGCAGAGAGCACTTTACATGTTTGTCCCCATCAGATAACGAGTTTATGCTTTGAAAAGATGGCGGACGACATGAAATGCATACCAATAAACTCAATATTCCCAATGACAGATTGAATTATATCAGTCAGTTATGTCCTCAGACATGGAGGGTCTAATCATGTGCAATACTTCCAATGCAACTGAGCTGAAAGTCGCTGTGATCACTACTAGGAATGTTTATTTTTAGTTTAATGGCATCGCCAACATTTCGGCGCATTTCGTAATGCTCGTACCGCCTGACGACTGGGCAGTCAGCAGGTCATGCAGTGACGTCGATCATACGGAAAATTGAACCGTGGTATGAAGCTATATGAACTAAAGATTGAAAGTCGATTGGTATATTGGATCGTGATTCAAAGTTATCCAATATACACCACTAAAATACAAAGTTCTTAGCAATTTTGTGAATTCAATCAGTCAAAATGAAGGGATTGAATCGGACGAATAAACTGTGGCCGTTGAAATTGATCAATGATCAATCGTTTTCATCGATGAGCAGATTTACACGCTTGAGAAGCTACCGCGAACACCCTTCCCCACTTAATCTCCTTGATAGCCCTCCGCAGCCCGGCGAGTCGGTACCTTGAACAGGTAGGGGAGGAACTTGTCGGTCTTTTTGGCCAGGTCCTTGGTGTTGACCACGTGCTCCATGGAGGTGAGCAGCGCCTCCTCGGTGATGAAGCAGTACGGGTCGTCGGACGCGCCCCAGTTGTTCTCCCATACGTACTGTGGGCAGAAAATGTGAAGCGTTGTTAGGCGAGATAATAATACACAATACACATTACACACAGTGTGGCCACTTGTATTTCCCCTATTCCTATCATACACATTACACAACTTGAAAGAAAAGATCGTACCAGGGTTTTCAGTGAGCATCGTTATTCAGTTTCGCGGAATGTTTCATAGTACAAAGGAAACAGTTCACTGTCAAAAGCTTACTCTAGCCCATAGCTGTCAAAACTGTAGCCTAGCCAGGTGTTGGCAATGTTTCAGAAACACCAATTAGGGGTCTGCGAAAGACGTCTGTGGAAAGCCTCTAACCGCCCGCCGACAGCTTTTGACAGAACGCGATCGCCCGAGCCAGGGTCAAAACAAGAAGCCATTGTCAGAAGGAAGACCAGCGCGGCGGTCCGCCGACGCGTCCTACCGCACGGCCGGCCGCATGAAGGCAGGCAGGACCGTTAGTGCTACACCGGCACCTCATGTGACGTCATTGGTGTAACAAAGCGTCATATGACGTCACTGAGGAACGGCCCGACGATCGGCCGCTGGACGATACGAGCAAAGACGAACGGAACTAGAGTCCGGGAACACAGACATTGCAGGGCCAAACCGTTATCCAAACAGAGTCTTGTCAGGAGAACCGGTCTGTGGGAAGTCATAGGGTGGTGAAAGGGTGAGCAGTACCAGAAAACTCAAGTCGGAGTCACGGTGAGCAAAGAGGATGTCCAGAGTGCCCAGTTGAAACTGACGACACTAACGCCCCCGCTATGAAAGGTGGATATAGAAGAGCGGGAAAACTGTCATCACCCACCTCTACGCCACTGGCCATGACCTTTGAGAAGTAAGACGGACCCACAGAGCCTCTCACGTCAATGAAACAAACGTCAGCAGTTCTGACGTCTGATGCGGCGTGAGGAGAGTGGGAAAACACACGGTGAGCCGTTAAGAGGAGCGGTGAAGACAGCGCCGGTGAGTGAGAGTCCCGGGAGTCATCTGCCGCCGGTGGGCACGGGGTTCACCGACCAACACAAACATTACTCACATACACCACACATCAGTGGAAGGGAAGTGACCGTCCTGAGCCGCCGGTGTGAGCCCGAACAGGCCGGGTCTCAGGTCGGTCGGAACAGAGGCAGAGGGTACAAACCTTTCAAATGAAAGCTCGGGATAAGAGCTTTAGATAGGAGCTCATGACATTCTAATTAAAAATTACCACAAATTATAGTTCCCTATTCAAAGGAAAGCTGTCCTCTGGAGCTTCAGCAGCGTAGCCACAAAGTGCACCAAACAGGTATCTCCCTTCGCCACAAAGTGCACCAAACAGGTCTCTCCCTTCCCGCTCCATGCAAGGAAAACTACCGATACCAGTAACATCGCTGAGCTTCTGTGTATATTTAGAATCGTTCGAACCCCGCCGGAGTTTGAGTAATGAGGTCGGCGTGCTGATGTGACTTCTGCCCTCCCCGAGTTCCCATGTCGGTACGTTTGAAAGGCTTCGTTACAGGCTCCTCATGGTCCATGGACCGCGCCGGTGCAGAGGGTATCAGACCAGACAGGACCAGTGTGGTCAACGCTAAACCCGTCTGCTGGATAGATCGCATTTACCGCGCTGCAGGCTTCCCAGTAATGGCATGACACAAGTAATAAAAACAACGGCTATTTCTGGCTGGAAAGGTTACAGAACAGCCACATGACTAACGACACAAATGTCAAACTAAGAACAGCAGAGTTTCATACCCACTGACTGCTACTACACAAAAAGCCTTTAGACTTTTTGAGGTTGAGCTGATCCATAGCTGATCCATTAGAAAAGAGCTTCAACTCGAGCAGAAGAAAATATGTTATCAAGACTGAGCCCAGACTTTGTAGCACCGGTCTCCTGACACGCCAAACCGCTCCTTCGGTGGTCAACGCCTCACTTATAGGGCAGGTCACTGGAAAACACGACGCTAACCATGCTCCCCGTCAATGTTCTATCGCAACACAAACACCTGTGAGCTCAGACACCACCTGAACACCTCATCTAGCTACCTCGCTGGTCTACCAACAGTGACCTTACCACTAGACGTATACCTGCTGACCTTTCGCCGTACTCAACAGACGCCCTCTGACTTCTGAGCGACACGAGCAGCCCGTCGCTGGGTGCTGTGCGCACGGACACACCTTTTCCTCCGATGGTGGGTCAGCTCACCAAAGCAGTTGTATCATCAGGCCAACAACAACACCTCTGAGCTGTCGACCGGACACCGACGAGCAGAACAAGAACCGCGCCCGCCAGACGCGCGCGCATGAGAGGTCTCGGCAGCTGCCCGGAATCCTGGACCATTCATTTGTCGAGAGACTCGGTAACAGTGCTGGAAGTTCAGACATTATCCTGGCTCCGCTAATGATCCTGGACGAGAAAATGCCAAGCTATGTGCCGTGTAAATAAGACGACGTTGTGAGATGATGGTACAGTTGCGCTAAAACGTTCATCATGACGAAGTGTTCCATCGAGCAGCTGCAACTAATGATACAACTGGACTACCTGTTAGCACGTCTAACACCACACGGAATTAAAATGCGAAGTCAAGTAAGAAACTGACCGTTTACCTCGTCAACAACCACACACAGCTAACATCCAACATATCTGATTGGAAGCACAATAACATAACGTTGTGTTGTAACATTTGGCGATCCACATTACATCCTTTTGATCAGCTTGTACCTGAAAAACCACTTCTTCATCCATCGCCGTTGTTACATCAGGCCGTCGCTGACCTCTGCGAGCAAGTGTGCTAGTAACCCAGGCCAAAAATGCCTCAACGGCGAGCCTGAGCAAAGGCACAGCACTGCGAACCAGATCGAATCCACGACACAAAAACCCGCTTCCTCGGCAGCTAAGAAGGCCGTGGAGAAGAGCTCAACCCACAACACTCTGTAAACTGACGCAAGGAAATGGGTTCACCGGATCGCCATACTATCGCTCCAACGGAGGCCTAAGGCCGTGACAGGCAACAAAAGGGAACCGGCAACTAAGGCTTCAGGCGGAACCCATAAACGATACAGACCCGGTAAAGGTGATAACGGTCACAACATTTGCAGCCGGACAGGTGGAACAGCAAAAGCGGGGCAAACAACGGCTATATTATTCATTTTTAATCGAGTTACATCGGTAACAGTTCATAGATAATCGACTCAGTGAGAAAAGACGGCGCCGAATGCTAATTATAATGAGTATGAGTCCTTCTACGATTCATCACATCATCACTCTATCGATGTAATTCATGTGTAAAACCACAGCGTTGCCCGGTACCTTGAGCTGCTGGATGAACTCCTGCTGCTGCTGTTCGTCCAGGTGTCCGATCTCGGCGAACTTCCTGGCCATGTCCTTGAAGTCGTCCCAGCTGACGGTGCCGTCCTTGTTGACGTCCATTACGCGGTGGTACGTGCGCATCTTCTTCTGCCAGATCGGTGACGTCCCCTGCGGCGACACCAGGTCAGGTCAGAACAGAAAGCCAGGTCAGGTCGGGTCAGTTGTGGGATCTGTCCGCGTCACGGGGTGGCCTGTAGGTTACCTTCAGGCTGTGAGCCGCCCGTGAGCCAACAACCCAAAACACTCAGTCACGAATAACTTGGCTCATGAACGTTCTGCTGACCATTAGCAGACCCAACAAACGAGCCGTGCCCGAAATAGCCATGGATCCGGTTTTCAATGCCGAACAATGGCTCGCTCGTTAGTCAGAAAGCAGCCTCCACCCACCGGAGACCCACAATGAGCTCAGCTGCTGCGCTTTGATCTGGGATCGTCCACATACCAGGGGATCAGAGATCGGCTCTGATGCCCCTACCAGCGAGTTCTGCGTGTATTGACGTCACCAGTCACAACTAACTCCGGAGTGAGGCAGGCTGATTGAAAGTGAGGCAGTCTTGTGCAATCTGAGGTTAAGCAGGCTTTGGGCTGCTGTGGCAAAACAAACCCGAGCTCAAAGCACCGACAGTTACAAGGCAGCTCTTGGCCTGGATTGCAAGATACTGGTAACTTAAGCAGCTATCATTCTTAGCTCTCACGAGAGTGTAGGAAAATGTAAGAACTGAGCACAAGATTCATCGAAATATTGAAGTTTAGCTTTTAATATTGCAAAAATCAAAAAAGATTTCGCCAACTGACAACCATTAGCCAGGTAATAAATGCTTCAACAGTTCACCATGCTCTACAGTCAGGTAAGTCGACATCCAATTAGGGTGCACCCGTCGTGCCCGACTCACCCTCTTTCCGAACGGCTTGCGTCCGTCGATCTCCTCATCGGAGTCGGAGTCTGAGGAGTCGGAGTCACTGGAGGAGGAGGACGAGGAGGAGGAGGACGGCCGCGGTTTGGAGGAGGGCGGCACCGGCGGCTTCTGGCCGGTAGAGTACTGGAGCCGCTGCTGCGCCACACACACCTGCGGAGAGAGAGGGAGGGAACAGTCGGTCAATGAACAGCCGAGAGAAAGGCGGGGAAATACAGCGGCACGGAACATGATAACATCTGTGGATTAGTTTTGAACGTAACGAACACGCGAGGCAAGGCATAAGGACCAAGTAAAAAACAGAACTCGTCTAAAATTGACGCAAATATTCAGTTAGTCGAACATACGACGGAAAAAACTGATTCATCACCACAAAACCATTAAACTGTGTGATTAATGAGGACTGGGCTGGACAAAAGAAAATCAGACTCAACGCGACCTCCAAATGTCAGCCAGCAAGTCTGCCACTCAGCTAACATTGACCACATCGCTCTCAAACCCAAATTGACTCGCGCCCACACTCAAGGTGCTTCATTTACCACAGCGCTATTCTTTCCGTCAACTTCCCTCCTAAAACCGACACTCCTGATCGGACGGCATATGATCTCATCCCGGTCGTCTGTAGGGCACACGGCGTCCGCCTCCGTCTCAAGGTCATATGGAGTCCAGTTCACAGAATACCCCACCAGCCGGTGATCCGTCCGTCCGGCCGCCGCGGTATACCGGGCCGGGTAACGGACAGTCGTGTCCTCAGCGCTGCCAGAAATAGCCGCACTGGCCGGCAGTCGGCCTCTGCACACTGTGCACAGCCGGCGGCCGGCGGGGAGCGGCCGCACGCAGCCGCCCGGTGAGGCAGGACGGATGGTCCAACCGACCGACCGGCGCGGTGAGCGGTGCTTCCGGGACGCGGCCGGCGCCCGGTCCTCCCAGGGGTGGAGGTGGGCGCGCCCGCTGCACGGCCGGCAGGGTAAATAAAACCCACAGGAGGCCGGAGCTGGGATGTCAGGCGACCAGCCGACCGAGAAGAGAGACAGAAATCGAAGTAGTTCAGAACGCCAGCAATCCGAAGCCCATCAGTGATACCATCGTTTCCTAGCGTCGGTCATTATTGCCAATAAGCTCGGCGTAAATAATATCATATATGAGAAACACCACACCGATTTTCTGTGACATCATCTGCTAGTGTAGGGGATCTCCCTGAAGACAGTCACCGCCTGGATACAAATTACAGATGTAATTGCAGGCTTCAGCTGAGCCTCGTACAACTCATCAGACACTCGATCCGTCTGGCCACCCAGGGCGAACTGCGGGCTGCGGCTGGGGAACTGATCTGGCCCCCCTGACTCAGGTTGTGGGCTCACTGACGGCACCGGTCATCACACGTCAGGCGGTTCAGGTAGACAGTCCAGACGGATGATACAACAGCTGAGCGGCTTGGGGAGACGGCTAGGCTGCTATGTCAAGGACAGAGTGGCTGCAAAGATCAGCCCAGAATCCCAAACTTCGCTTATTCATAAGAGGCCTGGTCACGCAGAAGCTGGTAAAATGATTCACCTCAGGCGTCACTGCCAGAGCTACGCCAATATATCAGACATAATAGCTCAACTACTCATGTTAAGTTCAGCTCAAGTGCAAGGTCAGACTGAGCAAGCATCTCAAGCTTCTCTGTGGGTTCGTCATGGTTTGTGGCTCCTCAGCAGCCGAAATCACCACCGGCACACGACTCCCGTGTAACCGCACTGGTCTACCGACGGTCGCCAGCGTCACCGCGCCGTCATCAGCGTCATCCTGCCGTCATCCGACGTGACCGACGATGACGCGCGCACGACAGTCGCCCATCGGCAGCATTCCAGCGACGCTAACCGGACACCAACCAGCCACTACGACCCCATCAGGGCGCGCATCAAAGCAGCCGGCGGCCGTCGCCAGCCAAGAACTCGCATGCATTACGCGAATTTGGCCGTCCGTGCGCCGTCCGACTCGGCAGTCTTTGGGTCGGGTGGGAGATGGGGAGGTGGCGGCGGCCGGGGCGGTACGGCGCAGCTCAGTGGCGGAGACTGGCTCAGGTACAGGCCACGGTGGTCGGCTAGATAACTCGAAACCGATACAGGGCCAATACCTCAGTCGCAGTATCGGTCAGGTCAGGCATTGAAGGACTGTTATCGTCTGGAGGCATTAAAAACAGGCGCTTTGTCCCCACAGGCGGGCCTCATACTTCGCAAAATAGCAGCGTAGCACGCAACACAGAAACAACTCTGTTTAAAAGGCGTCTGTATATGAATATCTAGCAGCAAATCGAGATACGTCTGAGAGGGGCAAGGGCAACCTTCAGTAAAACAAATGAAAGATAAATGCATTGCCTAAATGAAGCTGTTACTATTCGATTGAAGCCATGCCACAGTTGTCATTCGAGTGCGCCATTGCCTCACACGATAAGCGCAGGTCACTAACCGATAACGGCTTCTGTTCGCGGTTTGCTAGTTTTTGTCCAACTTGGCGAGCAAAGACGGGGACCGCGTGATATGATATCATTTGGATTCGCAGCCTGAACCAGGTAACCGAGTCACAAAGAATGGCAACCCTGACAACAACGCAAGCCCAAACCTTCTTCTCTCAACACATACGCCGTTATTTCCGCATCTTGGACTTGGCACCGGGCCAACTAGCGGTCAGCTGTGTCAGTGACGGAAGCCGGAAGGTCAGTGTGATAGGCATGGTGCGGAACAGACCTCTTCCGTCCGTCTGCGGAGGGGGGGGGGGGGAGGAGGCAGGAACACATCACACCTGCGGTCCTCAGACAGAACGGCCGGCCGACTGGGGACCGACGTGTCGCCTTCCACCTGAGCTAGAAGATGGCGTGGCGTGGTAGGAGGCGTCGATTGGCCTGGTCTGTCAATGTCAATGGCGTGGTGATCACAGGATGCCACAGAGACCTTGATGAGCCTCTGAAGTCCGCAAGTAGATAAACGGTGACACTTCTGTAAATGGTGCCAGGAAGTATGAACCAATCCGTGGTTCTTAAATGTGATCCGGGACCAAAGGCAAAAGCATCATGGAACAAGCAGATATTTCAATGCATCAAAGCGTAAGCTAGCCCGGCAACAGCTGAAACGCGTGTGCGTGTCTTTGAACGAGGAGCCGGCAGGCGCCCCCTCCCCTCCCCAGCGGAGGAGAGCGGATATGGCCTACTTCCTCTCCAGCCGGGCGCAGTCCAAGTGGCCAACCCTCGCCAACCAAACCTCAGAGAGGTAGGCACTAGACGGCCGGGGAGAACGCTGACACCGGGAAATACTTTTTAATTGTGGTCCCTGTGTCCACATGATCTCGTGAATCGTGATCCACATGTTTGAGCGCACAAACGGTAGGCATCACCCGCCACAGCCGTTATCATTCACACACCAGCTGAGTACACAGTACACAACACTTGTCGGCTCATCGACTCCAGCACGCGAGTGTGGACGGCCGCTGAACATACAAACGGGACGAAACCCAGTGACGGGTTATGGGACCGTCCGTGAGTCCGATCGGAAAGAGACGCTGACTCCATAGTAACGTGTTAAGTTGGGAGACGGTGCTTATGGATTAAAATTGGACTTATTTTTTAAATATGCTGGCATGAAGTAGTTGAAAGCTCTGAAGGTTCATCACAAGTCCATATTTTCGCATCCTGGACCTGGTACTGGGTTTCACACAATCAAAGAAGGGTGTCCTTTTTCCAAAGAAAACAAAAAACATGAATAATGTTGACAAAATATCAAATCGGCTTATATTAGAACCATAAACCATATGTATTAGCCATAAACCGGTACCACCCTAAACTGCTGATCCGCCCGTTCGCCTCGCTCCGCCACACACATCATGGTTTCCTCTCGTCCATCCGTCCATCGGCTCACAAGGCCAGCTGACGCAACTACACAGCGGTAGGGCACGCGTATTCGATCAGAGAACGACTCGACAGTCCGCCACACACTCAGTGTGGAGCGTCGACAGTAGGCTGCAGGAGGCGCCGAGGACAATAGGTAATAAGAACTCAAAATATCTCATTTGGCAAGCTAGTTAGATACGGGAGTCGTAACCGGTTAACATTGTAAAGAGGGATGTTACCAAAAAGGATCGAATGATAAATAGGCAAGCGTTTCGATTAATAAAACTAGCCAAATTGACTACAATTTACAAATAAACACGTGCAGCTTCGCATGTTGTGTACAGATGATTCAAGAAGAAGCCCCTTCGCTCCCCCTTCCCTTCCCTCTCACGTATGCTCCCGTTCAAAACAGACTGTGTAAACTGACCACCTGCAGAGAGCGTCTGCAGCACCAAACACGCCCAAGGCCAGCCCGGAGGACCCCCTACACAGTGCACGCATACTCCTCCCTCCCCTCCCCGGCGGTCGACCTACCCCAACAATGACACACGCAGTGGCACCACTGAGCCCAGACCGCCGGGGGCCACAGACGGTCACGTGACCGTCTGACCCGACAGGGCGCCTCTGTGAGTCTGCCTCGTCGTTCGTCTAAGACGTTTGTCTGCCATAATGTCTGTCCGTGTGTCTAGACGTCTACCTTCCGTTGGTCTGTCTGCTTGTCTGTCTCGCCTATCGTCAGTCCGCCCGTCGTCAGTCCGCCCGTCCCCCGTCTACGTCTGTCCGTCTGTCTCGCCTCCCGTCTCGCATCCCGACCGTAGTTCGTCTGTGCGTGCCTGCCCTTCACAGCACGTGCTCGGCAGGGGCGGCTGGGCACGGCGCCAGCAGCGCACATTAACAGACACCCGGCTCATTGGATAATGGCTAACTGCACCAGCCTGTCCCCAAAGGAGACAGCAGGCAATGAGCCAAACTGCAGAGACCACGTGCGCACGACGAGAGAACGACCGAAGTGAATGAATGAATGTGTTGCGAGATTTTTTGCCATTGCAACTTTTGGCTAAGTGAGCAGATACCGCAACAAGGGAAGGCAAAAACCGAACAGTAACGATGTCTACAAGTAAACCAAACCAATAAACCATCGCAAACCTTTGTGTAGCAGCTCATAGCATGTGTGCAAAGCATGCATTTTTACGGAAAGTGCGAGTGAGCCCCTGCGATCAATACCAGCGGTGCCCTTTGTTCGGTCCCCTTGCAGACCTTCCGGGGAGCGCGGACAGGGACGATGAAGGTGACGGGAAGGACAGGGGGAAACGACGACGGCACAACGACGGAGGCCAAATCAACACGAGGCAAGGACAGACTGCAAAACATGACCTTCAAGTCCCCTCTTAGAATGGGGCCAAAGGGGACAATAAGCGTCACGTAATAAAACAGGAAGAAAAGCAGCATCCACGTGTTGTCATGTAGGAATTTGGTCTCCTCAGCCATCCTTGGCCTGGACAAAGAAGCAAAAATCATGATGATAACGAAATGATACCCCTGAAAGTCGTGACTATTTGTTTTCAATAAGCAGCCAGCCGGCCGTCTGTATGTTCCATCCGCCTTTGGTGAGAAGTGTCGATGCCGCCAAGGCTTCTTCCGTGTTGCATCAGCAGCAATGGGTTCGATTCTTGCCTTTTCCGACATAGTCCATTCCGTGAAGGTAAGTCAGAGAGTGACAGTAAAGCCCCCAGACCGCCAGCAGCGTGACACGTGAGGACGAGGCCGGGATTCACGGCTCTCTCCTTCCCTTTTCTTCCGCAGGGTAACTCACGTAAGCTCCCTCAGAGTGACTCAACTGCTGCTTACCAAGACAGAGCGGAAAGCGAATTTCATCAGCTGCCTGCTTTGTCACGACCGACGACAAAAAAAAAAACCTGCAGTGTTGGAGCGGCGAGGCCAAACATTGGCTCTGATAGGCGCCCTTTTTCGGGCCGCTTTGAGCTTGTCACTCTGATAGTGAAGGATGGCATCCGAGACTCTTCCTTAGTCCCAAGGTAAACACAAGAAATGGGTGTTTGTTTAGATTTAGGAGGGGGCGTTCAAATGTTAACATGAATGACTGATAGGTGAAATGAGGTCGAAAGCTTTCTGGTGCAATAGACAATATTGACATCCTCAACAATACTTATCAAGGCGACGTGGTGCAGTATCGATTGTCACTTGTCTTCGGGCTGAAAACGGGTTTCGATTGGCTTTGCAATGGACCCAATGGCATTCATCGATACCGGAAATTCAATGACAATGACATTGGTACTGTGAGCGTGGAATATTGACGACCGACCATTGTCCATCAGCAGCTAAAACATACGGAACGTTTGTAAATTCTGAACGCTAAGGAATGGATTCATCACAATGTCCGTGAAAACGACTAAAACGGCGGTCCGCGGATAGGACAGAAAACATAGGAACTGACGACGCAGACTCCAGCCGGTGCCGGTAGCAGCTGATTTTGTCAGCTGTAGGTACTATCAGAACACAGCTGTGGGAAAGTGAACGATCGATTAGAAATCACACCGATACACTTCATATGAAATGAAACGAAAGCTTATGTCCAAAACAGAAAATATCCCCGCGCTCAAGTGAATGAATGAGAGTAAACGGGACGCAGTACGCAATCACTGCAGGCATTGACGTCCAGGGTTCAGCAACAAACTGGTCTTTCAGCAACAAAGGAGATGTCCCGGCCTGAGCCTTGCATAAATCTCGGAGCCACAGATATCATGAACCAGACTCTCTAGCCATTCCAATTCGGCGCCGCTCCTATCGGGTGGTCGTTTGCGACTCGCCCGGCTCGGCGTAGCAGTCACCGCGGCCGGCGCGCCGTCGCAGCCGACGATGACGCTCCGTCGCAGCCGACGAACCGGGCCGCCCAGTTCAAACGGGCGCACGTGCCGCCGGCGGCGACCGGCCCGTGCGGGGTGCAGGCTCTTTGTGCTCGGTACTCCTTGTTTACGGACCAGGGACAGCGGAAATCGGGGCTACAGAGCCTAGAGACAAAGCGATAATGAAACAGGTGCAGGGAGGGCAATGCTCGAGGTCAGAAAACCAAGGTATTTTAGACAATATGTGCGCTTCAAGCTAAGCATGGCGTTATAGGGGGAATATATCTTTTTGAAAAGTGACTCAAGCCCCTTCCTTCGACACTCGGGGGGGGGGGGGGGAGGACATAGGCTTCTTGGAACATCTTGTCCTGATAATATCTCTGGTTTCCTACACAGTTACACACCATTTTCCAGAGGCTTGTCTGATCAGCCAAAGGAAGACGCAGCGAGTATGATACACCGGTGTGTGTGCTGTGTAAAGCTACTGTCGTCGGGTCGGAGCCACGTGAGCTCTCAGGACAACGCTCGACTAACCTTGAACCGAGCCACACCAGGCGGCGGCGGCCTGACGACGATCAGCGGCGTGCTCAGCGAAATAAAAACAGCCACAGCGCTTCAATTTACTAGCCTACGACGATCATACAATCACTTAATAACATCCTCAGCGTTTTAACTAGTGTTTTCACGCGGAGAATGAAAGAGAAAACGGTGAAGAAATGAATGACTTCCGCTCTAATATCGCTGAAGTCGCCCCTGATCCGACAGCCGACTGACGAGGACTTCAGGAAGAAACCGGAAAAAAAATGGTGTGCTGGAACGAGGAATTAGGACGAAGAAATTACGTAGACTGTATGAGAACAGAAAAATTGAGTCACCATCCCACATAGCAGAGGGACATAAATCGATTCATAACAAGGCCAGCCTCGCAACTACTCCAACTCACTGAAAATTCGGTCACAAAAAATAACTGTCACGGGCCTGATCGCGAGCAGACCTGCCTCAATCCCGACCAGCCCGTTAAATGAGATACAGTAACAAAAACAAACATAAAATCGAGTCGCACTTTGACTTACTAGTGGCAGAGTCACAGGCCGTTGGACTCGGAGAGCCGCTGACGTTGACAAAGAAGATAGCCGCCTGGTCTGCGACCACATCAACCTCGCGGCCAGACGAGGGAGAGCCATCGCGGGCCTTCGTAAGTTCCTGACTTGTAAAAAGGTCTCAAATGATTCCAAAGGCTATAAGCACAGCACTTTCAACACAAGAACCAACAGCGCAGATCGACCGCCCCCTCCGCCGTCCGACTCCGCAGCGCAGCGCTCGTCACAGCTGCGGCGGCCGCAAACCGGCAACGGTTAGTACAAAATAAGACCGCTAGGTGTCAGGACAGGACAGCCTCCACGCAGGCGGTCGCCCTCCCAGAGCTCGAGTTCTGATAGTTTGGTGTTGAATAAAATGGCAAAGAAGCTCAGATTAGAAAAATTGTAAGCCATGGGATGAGATGAGGGACTTTTTACTGGTTATCCACAACATTCACATTCTGCAAGCACGTGGACATGCCGGGACGACTAACCAATCACAGAGCACGCGTCCAAGGCCATCCAAGCTCTACCAAATTCAGTGGAGCAGTTCAAGCCGTGGCTCGGCGGCTGTTGCCGTGGCAACCGAGCTCCAGTGGAACTGGTGGCGCCGGCGGTAGAGCGAGCTGCGGACGGGCGGGCGGGCATATTTACGTCTGGACAACGAGTTGCGTTGGAGAGGCCGGAAATAGTGGCGATTTCAGGACCGCAAGAATGGACCGTCATTGGGATGATTCTTTTTTAAACCGTGGACTGTTTTCAGCCAGAATTTAATAGTTACTACAAAATATTTTGTAATTACGTTTCCACCAAGAATGAATGCCACCTCGGCTAAATTTTTACTACTTTTGCATTTTGTCCAGAAGCATATAGTGCTGTTATATTGCAGTTTTAGCGCGTTTGTTACAAAATATGAAGCGGATAAGCGTCAGTGCAATTCATCAGTGCCAGAAGTTAACTTGAGGGAAGCTATGCTAATTGCTCTTGTCCATCCACTAGAAGTTATTAAATATTTTGCTTTGTGTATTCCAAAGGAGAGGGAACTATTTTATTTGTGCCTTCAGGCTTCATGTCAGAATTGAAGGTGGATCATTAAATTTTCAAGGCAGTTTACAAACAAGCATTTGGTCTATCTCGTATATAAGCAGTGGCTACTGGCTAAGAAGAAAAGTTGATCAATCCTGAAGTTCAGTCATCAACTCACCTTGTCAACTCAACATCGTACCTCAACTTGGCAGCAAGATCCCCAAGGACAGAGGATATATTGTATACCTACCTGTCCTGTAAATCAAAGCATTTTTGTGCCTGCAAAGGCTTAAGTTCTTTGTGGTGTGTTCGGAGTGAGGCTATATGGCCGTTTTTGTTGTATGTTTATGTGGAGATTGAATAAAACTGTGACCCTGTACTTGTTTGTATACTTACTATGGTCAAACAGGGAACAGCACATTCACATAACATACTCACCTAGCACCTAACTCATAGCTGTACCCTGCAAGTGCAGGCAGCAGGATCTGTACTTGTTCATGTCTCGAGCATTAACAAAGCACTAAAGTAGCTTAGTAATCATTTCCCACATTTTCTGAGCATCTAACATGACATACAGCAGTGCAGAGCAGCTTCAGAGAAGAAACACTTAAAATGCACAGACTCACACCAGCCACCCAATAAGCCAGTTCCTCAGTTGACTGTTTCCCTGGATGCAGCTTGGCAAGGTGAGCTAACTATTGGCAAGTAGAAGGTTAGCAGGTAAGATTGAGTTAGGGTGAGTTGAGTACCTACCTATAACTGGGTGCTACTGCTATGCAGGTCTTGGGTAGGCTGCAAATATGTGTGATGTTTGAGGTTAGGTCAGCTGTCAGGTTATTCAGGTATGCTCATTGCTCAGGTCACATTTTTATGGACACTTCGCAAATTAAAAAAACTAACATAACCTAATCTAAGCTAACCCAACTAAACCTACACAACTGCTGACTATAGGAACTAAGCACCTACCTACTTGTGCCTACATCTCAAACATGTCAAAGTAGAGTTCCTTGGTGGAAGATTACCCTCAGTACTTTTTATCCCAGCCTTGTGAAGAAAACTAATACTTCTAAGCTCTGAGTCACTGCTGGCCATCCACAGGAAGAAACGCTGAGACTGAGAGCTTTGCCAATGTATATTGGACCGACAATCACAATCACAAATGACTATGAACACATTATATGATCACATTGTTGCATGGATTGTCACATTGACAATTTTATAACAATCCTTTTTTTCAAGAAATACAGTTATGATTAACATCAAAATAAACATAAAGTAGATTTAGTGATCCAAGCTTTCTCCTCCAGTAGCAATTGAATGATCGCATGTTACATTTGCCAGACACTAAGTACCTGATGCTGGTGATGCACATTACAATCTGCATAGCATCTAAGCATAGTAAAGCTGCCAAAGTCCATTCATTCTAGATTTTTAACTTGATAGTTAGCACTAATTTATCTTGCTGTTGTAAGTTATCATTCAATTTCCAAACCAATGCATCAATATGAGCTCATCAGTCAACATTTTCTGGCATGATCCTGCTCAGCGCGCTCTTCAGTATTGCTCAAAGATCTGCAATATTATAGCTCGTTTTCGGCCAATAAGCTCTTTTAATTTAACTTTTTCTTGCTGATGTATGAGCCCGATCAACTTGCGGTTATCAACCAAAATTTCATAACTTCAAGTTCAACTTGATATTGATATTGCTCAGGAGTCAGGACCTCTCTCTCTGTCAGCCTCCTGGATAGTTCGGATTGTTTTCAGTCACATGCTTCTTAAATATGATATAAGTCAATCTTAAGGGATTCAAAATATCCAACAAAACGACGTACAAGAGTACGGAAACCACCAGATAAACTTAAAAAGCGCCTTGGAACAGAGCCAAGTGGTGCTCCATTTGTTTGTTTACAATGATTGTAGTGCTGATGTATTTTTAGGACTCTGAAGGTCAGCTTATAAAAATGAAACGTTTTTACAAAAGTTGTAAGGCAAGTAATATTTATCTGAAAGAACTAAAATATTCAAAAGCCAAACACTATGAAATACATGAATCGGAACGAAAAAGTAACCCAAAAATCCAGCCTAATCACCGGCTCCTAAAACTGCAACAAAATCAGCACTTTTCCCCGCAACTCGTTGTCCAGACGTAAATATGCGGCGGGCGGCGGGCGCGGCGCGACTCAATGTAAACAGAGTCGCGGGGCGGTGAGGTTCTGTTGGAGGGCGGTCGGATTGCAGCATCATTTCAGTTACCGGTTGTCGGTGAGGAAGGACGGCGCCGAGTCGACCTCTGACTGAGACCTCGAGTGACCCGTTGGACCGCCATGAACACCCTGGGGAGACTGATGGGGGTGACGCTGAGGGCTGCGGCCTCTCGACCTCACCTGACCTGTCGCGGAGTCGGCATCGGACAGCGCCAGAGGATGCTCTGCTACCAGCACTACTGCACCATCCAGAGGGCGGTAAGCATCGAAAACACTAGCCCCCCCCCCCTATCGATATCGGGGCTCTTTTTCACAGACGACTTTTTACGGGACTCTCTTTTACGCTACGGCTAAGTCGATTTGGACTGTTCTTCATTCTTGGCCATTTCTTGTCTTCGGAAATTCGGTTTTTCATTTAAGTGCAGAAGTCAGAATATCAACAAATTGTAAGCTGCTGCTAGAACAACCCAATCATATCGTTGGTTGACGGTTGTTGAATTTGAGTTCTTGTGAGTTGTGATCAAATCTTTTCTCGCATTACCTTTCACCGAGACCTAATGACCCGCGCCAACCGGTTATTGTTATGTAAGAGAGCGTCTTTGCAGCTGCGGACCAGGACGGGGACATCGATTGATCATGACCTGTCATCATCATTGTCTCAACTCTGGACAGACAAAGATAGACAGCGGATAGAACTCCGAGCATTCGTCATGTTACAGCTGAACTGGGCCCGTATGAGAACAACCTGATATGTGCGATTTATTACGATCGTGATAGTACACTTTGCTGCATCCCGTGCACCTTTGTATTTACCGTTGATAGTTTGAGTTAGATGCTTTCCGTGCACCTTTGTATTTACCGCCGATAGTTAGTTACCTTATCAATAAAAAAAGGCAGAACGACCACTTATTGGCTGGGCATCTTCGCTTTCGATGCATAAATTCACGGTCGGTGCCCACTCAATGCTTCATTCAGGGCACTAAAGAGTCGCTTCATTCATCCCTTCATTCATTCATTCATTCACTTCCGGCTGTTTGCCGTAGTGAAGCGCTATTGGGAACCTCCAAATAGAAGATGCTGGAGCCGCTTCGATCAGCTGACAGAACTCCCATAAAAATAAAAGCTTTGAAGCGCACGGTTAAGTAAATCGTCATTTTTAAGCCATATTCTCAAAACAAAGAGTTGTGCCGGCCTTACTACTTCTACGCTCGGATTACGACTTCTTGCAAATCCGCAGCCCCACTGCAGTACGTTCACGATACAGTACGAGCTGCGCCACCATACACCGTCGTGTGCTGTTGTCGAGCGGCTGTCAGACCCTGATCAGCCGGATTAGTCAGTTCCGAGCCGATTAAAGTGAGAAGGTCTCTTGGCCCAG